AGGCGAGCTGTAGATTGAAGAAAGGAATTGCTTGTATTTAAAGCACATTCCCAACAGCAGCGAAGCTTCCAATCCATCCTGGCTAATACGAGAGGAAAAGGCCTGCGCAAATTCGGCCCTGAGGCCAGGGCTTTCCATTCCACCAACAGGGTGATATCAAATACATGCAAGTGATAGGCCTCGCGAAGGGAGTTGGGAGGATCCAGGAACGCTCAGCTCATTGCGAGCCACAATAAGAGAGATCGCCCACATGCTGCGCTAAGAGTGAACGGGCCAAATCGTACGGAGTAGTTGGGGCCAAAAGGAGAAAAATACCCCGGTGCTCTCCCGCTGAGCCATAGAGTGGGATTGTTTCAAGAATGTTTAGGGGGGAAGAAGCGCCCCCTAGTCTCTCCACATGGCGAAGTGCATGAGCAGGGAGACGAGAGAGAGAGAGAGGTATCTTGCAGCAAAGCTGGTGCATTGTTGGTCGTCATTGCGAGAGAGATGCGTCGTCTTCAAACCGTGCTGGCCAATGTCACTCAGCGGGTGTTTTTGCTTCTTAGCTGATAGTTAGACACAATCAACACCGAATCGAGATACATGCAGATATCAACCGCATGTCTATGGCATCTCACGCATCCCGCCTCGACTGACTGCCGTCTCTGCAAGGAACCCGGCCATCCAGCAATCCCGCTAACCCCAGTTGGTGCCCAGCTCCGTGCCCCCCATCGATCGGCCCCCGGCTTTGGCATGATTCATCGCCACAAAACCTCCAAATATAACCAACGCAACAACTCTGGAATCCCAGCAACAAAAATATATTTCTGCATTTCCCGTTTCTGGGGCCCAACTAGTTAAGCGTCTAGATCCCGGCTTGCCAATTCTTCAACTTGCGCTTCAGGACATCGTTGGGGGTCAGGTTCATCGGCCTGCCGACTCGTAACCAGCTTTGGCCAAATGGAGAAGATGCTATTCACACACACACAGCCGCAGTTTAATAAGAAGAAGAAGAAAGCAACGTTTTTTTTTGAAACATTCCAACGATCTGCAATCCTCTCGCGGTTGGTTGGGCCAGAACTCATCGAAAACGCCCTTCTTGATCGTGAGCCTCCTGACGGAACATGGTGAGACGGCACCCCATTATTGGTGGCTGATGCGAAAAAATCCCTCTTTAGGAGAATAACACTGTCTCGGGTTTGACGTTGGTGCATGTCATTCGTCTTCGATTACCCGATTTTAGCCTGGCCTTTGCATTTGCAATTACTAGTGGAAAATGACGGTGACCGCTGTTTGGCGTTGAGGCCCCCCATATGCTAGGTAGCCTGTCATCGGCTAATGGTCCTCCACGAAATGTAGTCTCCTCAGGTTGATAACTTATTGTAAGGCACGGTCCATGTTTGGTATTCTTGATCCCTTTTGTCCTGCGACGGCATTCACTTGATTATTATAGATGCACCAAGACATTCCCGGGCAGTCGTGCTATATACAGTACAATCACTTCCTCACATCGCATTGTTTCAGGAGATTAAATAGATAGGAGATTATTTAAATTAAAAGCGGTCGCAAGATGATCCTCTTAACGACCATCACTTCCATACTCGTCTTTGTCCAACGCATTCATATCGTCTTCCTTGGCGTTCAGGTGGTGGAAGACGATCCAGAAAATGATACCCGCACAGAATGACGCAACGCATAGCCCAACAAACATCCAAATGATTTCAGGGTCATGAGCAACAGGCGTCAAGGCCTCACCGATAGCAGCACCAAATGCATTGGTCAGCAAGTACATGGACTGGACGAAACTCTTCATCGTCGGTGGCGCCTTGGTGTACGCATACTCCAGCCCAGAGACAGATGCGAAGATTTCGGAGATACCAATGAGCATATATGCAGGCGTCTGAACTGCGATGTGGACCTTGTTTCCTTCCCGGACGCCGTTCACAAGCGCGAGGTCACAGTTCGGCTGGTTATAGCACGGCGGAGAAGTGTAGATGAGATGCTGAACAATAGCGGCGTACATCATGGCCAAGGAGGCAACCACGAAACCAAGGGCGATACGAGTAATAGGGCGGAAGGGGATGTGCATCTTCTGGAGAAGAGGATAGACAATCCTGTCAAGGATTGGGAGGAAAATAATAATGGAAATGGGATCGAAGTTTTGCATCAAATCGTTGGGGATACCATGATGTTCCATTTGGCCAGCTGGAAGGTAAATCATTAGCTACCGCAGATCAAAGACGAGGGAGGGTCGCAACAATTGCCTTACCTTGCGAGACAAAGTTACCAGAGAATTGACCGTACACCACCCAGTAAATGGGGTAGAAGGTGAAAACCTTGCAAGCAACCAAGGCACGCTTCAATTCATCGATAAAGTGGTCATCCCATGGGAGTGTGCGGCTGGAACCGTGCTCGGCTTGCCATGTCGGTTTGGGAGCGTCCATGTTTCGGTTGACAATCATCATTCCAACAGCCTTGAACGCATTGGTGATGATTGATCCCGTAGGAGGGCGGACAACGTAGAATTTGCGTCCAAACACTAGAACGATGGTACCAGTCACGAAGACACAGAGACACAAGAGGAAGGCTGACCAGAAGCCAATATCGCGTTCCATATAAGGGGTTGCAAGCAGGGAGAGAGAGCCGACGTTGATACAACCGTAGAAGATCATGTAGATGCGTTGAATGGTCAAACCAGGGTCGAGGATAACACGTTCTCCTTCTTTTGTGACCCCGATTGCCATCGTCTTTCGCTTGTATTGATCAGCAATCAATGGGGCGACGTTGGATTTGATGCCACCAGTTCCGATACCGACAACGATAATGGCCGCAATAAATCCACCCAGACCGGCACCATGTTGAAGTGAGATCGGCAACGAGGTGAAGAGTAAAATTAAGAGACCAGCGACGTAAACGATACAGAAGTAGAAAATGGCCATATATTTTCCGAGATACTGATCGGCAACAATAGCTCCGAAAATGGGAGTGACTAGGGAGTATATCAGTAAAATGCGCGTTGGGGCAAGATAAACGCAGACAGCGGCATCAACACTTACCGTAGCACCAGAACTGGAAGAAAGTAGTCAAGCCAGTCGCCGCTTGTGACCCAGCCCTATTACAACATTAACATGGTGTACTCTAGCGACACGATGGCTAACACATACCAAGGGCACCCTGGCCCAAACTTCCATCCAGAGGCCTTTGGACATAGTTTTGGAACAAACCCTGCATGCCGTAGTATGTGAAACGTTCGCAGAGTTCCACAACGGCAACAAGCCAAGCCGAAATAGGAAGGGATTCGGCCACATGTCTCAGCGTCCGCTTCTCTTCTTCCGTTGGCTCTTCGCCGAGGGGTGTTTCGTGGAGGTAACCCTCCTTGTTCACGTATCCAGCTTCGATAGATCGCACTTCGGCTTCAGTATCCTTGCCCAGAGATCCTCCGGCCAAGTCCTTTTTCTCATGCTGAGGTTCAGCAGCGCCGAATTGCTGGTGCAGCCTTTAAGTACTTGGTCAGAACCGCATCACGCTGGGAATATAAGAATGTGGAAGATACATACTGGGCTGCCTCGGACTCGTGATCAGCCATGTCTCAAGTTTCACTCTTTTCCCTATGCTCAGCCTTAAAAGCACTCTGGTGTATGCTCGAGCAAGGAGAGGATAACAGACAATATGCCCTCAAAGGAGGGAAGGAGGCCAAGAACTTTGTCTAGGTATCAAAAAGAAAGAAAAGGATCGGAAGAAACCAGCGGGGAAGTCGATTGCCTTTTATCCAAATCCCCCACGTTGAAAAAGTCTAAGTCGGAAATGCAACGATTCTCGCAGACGGAAACATCCTTGTGTTATCTCCAGCCATTCAGTGGCTGGCCTTGCAATCAGTCAAGATTATTGGGCCCGGGGTTCAAAAATGGGGAATCACGCGAAGCCACATGGGAATAACGGATCGGCAAATTGTGGCATGGATCAAATGGTACGAAGGGTGTAATCGCAATTAGTATCCATGATATCCAGCTGCATCCCTTGGTCATTCCCCCGATGTATCAGCCGCAACGAGAAGAAACCAGTGCGAATACTTCATCCGGAATATCCTCCATCCCCAGCAGCTTGCCAGCGCATATCTTGGATGAAAAGCCCATTTATTCAGGTATCCCTTGATATGGTCAAATTGTGGGATAGGGGACACAGCTCAAGCGGATGTTCCAGGTAAAATCCGCAAAGTCATTTTCAACGCTAAGTAACTCGTTAGACTGAACGTCAGTGGCTGAACCTGAGTAACCCTACCGTGGAAAGGTGCGGTCACTAAAGCAGCTAAAACTTGAAAATCCCACACGGAAGCCCAATCAGGGCCGTTGAAGCCGTACCTGGATCAAGGAGATCCTCGGCTCCGTTGCTTGTACCAATACAAGCTTCTTTGTGCAGAGCAACAATGGTTTTGTGGCGAGGTTCTGCTCGTGGCGAAACGCAGAAAATTCCTGAGCGAGCGGGCTTCTCACGCCTCGGGATTTTATTCTCCTTTTGCGGAGACAAACGCCGTCCCTTCCTCCATTTCGCTCGGGATGCGACTGGTAGAGCCGTAGATGCAAATTTGTAATTTCGCGCACCTTACACGGCGGTTCGTATTGAATAAACCCGTGCGACGAGGATCTTGGTGGTAAGGCGTATGGATATGTAGTTATGTGAATACTCCGTACATACATACACAGTTAATCCGTAATCAACTCATATGAGGTACAATTATCGCAGATATGCACAAGCTTGAAGTCCCTGTACTTATGCGCGCATCCTCCGCCAGCTCAATGATTCGCTCAAGCGGTGGTAAGCTTTCGAGAGAGCACCATCAAGTCTGCATCGTGGATGCAACCCCGATGGCTCATGACCCACTGATTCCCACCTGAACCGGGTTTCAAGCCAGCCGAATCAAGACCGCGCGAAAGGAAAAACATTCCAGAAAACTAACCGAAGCGTCTGCGGGTCCACCGGTAGGGATGAAAAAACTGACAAATATCCGAGCTGGAGTTGAACTCAGCGTGATATGATGGTCATGGAGGGCCAGGGATTCCCAAGAACGAGGTTGGCAATCCTGATGTCGGATAAGCCGGCTTGCGCTCGCTTGGCGGCAGCGCTCCCGTCGATCGCTCCTGCAAGCAGCCTAGCGCACTTTCACCAAGAAGGCTTCGGCGCATCCAAGCACCTCTTGGGGTCTTGGAAAAGGCTTGAAAACAGCCACACGCTTGACGCTCCAGCACTCTGGGATTTCGAAGAAACTCTCCAAGACCAGACACTTGTCCATCCCCAGACTCGATGCAAAACGGTTACGAACCTGGAGAAAGCGTTTTGCGTGTGGTTGTGCGGAGAACAGCAGGGATATGCGAGGATCTCGATGAACCCTGGGAGCTGATCAGTTTCCGTTTGAGCCAACGGGTCAAACCCATCCAGCTGATTATATTTGGCCTAGAACGTGTAATCAGTCATCAACCCGTTGGATGTATGGTGGAGTAGGGGTATCCATCTTCGTCCTGGTTCGTATCGTCACAGACTTTTTTTTTCCTCATCCTGGGTATATTCTACCGGCAATAATAGAGCATCTGAAGAATCTCCAAACATGAGACCTTCGAGAAACGGCCTTGCTTGTGGATGCTGGTCTCTCCATCAATCTAGTCGTTCTAATTCTCAAAGTAACTGCATATGTATTCAATGATGCCCAACCTCCCAACCCCAGCCGTGAGCTCGCGGGGCCATTTTCACTTTGCCCTCTGGAGGATACGTTCCGCATCTCTCCGATATTGGATGTATCGAAATACGGAGTACAGTGTTAAGGCGTCGATTAAGAACCATCCACTCCGCTTGGTCTTCAGTCTGCGCATGGAGATTGTGGGCAAGAATGAAATAGTAAAAATCAAGGCTAATGATAATTGCCTGTTCTGACTGAACGGAAATTTCTTCCCCTCCTAGCGGCTCTGTTAGCTTCAATCGCGGTGCTGTTTGGTCCCGGAATTCAGAATCTTCTCTGAGCTTGTTAATCACCCAGTAGCTCCACTGGAGCAACCATAGCTCCCCAATTTCCAGTTTCGAGTCAGTTGTCCTCTCGTGTTGGTGGTCGAAATACGGCGGCTTCGTTCGCTCTATCCAGCCGCCCGTTCACTTCAAGGCCTGCTAACAAGGGAGTCAATTTTCGCGCTCATAATATCTCCTATGTGACATACGTCGATGCCAGCCGTCCAGATGATATCCCCTAACTAAACAACGGCCTGCTCTTCAGAAAATCCCACCGCTATGAATTTGACGCTTGGATTTTCAGAGGTGAGGCCGTAGCACAAAGCAACGTTGGCACCACAATCGTGTAGCCGTCAATTTTGACAGATGATCATCGGTACACGGCGCACATTCCATGTAACCACTGGTGGGAAAATAGTAGCACGGCGATGCAACGTCAAGGTGGGCGGCGTTGGTCCACTGCGCTAAGATACTTTGTCAGAAAGCTCGGGGGCCTCTTCACCCGGTGTCTACGCAAACATACAGGGACAACGTGCGCTTTGATGTCAAGACGTGATCGCGGGGTCCCCAGATTGCTCTCCAATCAGTTTGAGGCGTCCAACGTTGGTTGACAGACGACTGAGTCAACAACCAAACGAGTCTCTGATCTCACGGCCTTCGGAGGCTGGAAACGACTTTCAGATGCTCTCTGGCCCTGTTGATCCGCGAATATGCGAAGAATTCAATTAGGAGAAGCTTACCTCGCGCTTTTGGTGCATAATCTCCGCAATGCAGGCCTGTGTTATTCTCCGAGAGAGAGAAGGGCGTCTATCCTAATAAGGCTCCGGCCACCTGTCTAACAAACATCGTACCGGAGCAGTTGCAGTTCTTTCGAACAAACGTGCGACTGTAACCGTTTCTAACGGGATAGAAAAACCCTTGTTTGCAGATTGTCAGCAGTGACGACTTTGATGTCAGCACACACCTTTGATCAACCCGATTGTATTGCTCTTCCTCAAGATTGGCGATTACGAGGGGTTTGGGAGCGCTATAAGTCGATAAGCGCGTGTGACCCTATTCATACAACCATGCTTCTTTCCTTACTGCATGGATACCCGACTGAGGGGAAGAGCGCAATCATCTCTGCAGCCATCGCAGAATATCCAAATGTGGTGCTCACTTTGGCCCTCGCACTGAGAACATTTCGTGCGCAACCAACAAACAACTGATAACCATCCCAGCCTTTCTCAAACTAGGATAAGGATGATGGAGGAATTTAGAAGACAAAATGCTTGCACTGAAAAGTCATAAAGAGATCAACGTAGGTTTGACAATAATCTCGGCGCAACAATTCAACAAAGCACCATAGACTCGCAGTTCCTATTCTTCTCCTTACGTGGACTGTAAGCAATAAAAGCAAACGGGAGAACCAGCCGATACAACTGTATGGATACCTTTTAAAAGCCACCGGACTGGCCGATGATAATCCGTTGGAACTTGGAAACGATTGGGTTCACAAAAATGCTGTAACAACCCGTTTAGATCAGCGCTACGGAGTACACGCTTATTGAAATCGCGTCGCGCGGCACACCGCCTGCAAGAAAGAACACATCATTCGGCCATTATGGAGGAGCATAGAATAGTAGGTTTGAACATGCAGGACGGGTCGATGTGCGAAAATCTGTCTCAACGAGGCGTTGCCACAAAGCCTGCGTGGTGGATTGCTATGAAACCAATCTATAAAGCAGGAAGAACCATGATGATCATGAAGTCAGCAATGTAAGCCGCCCGGGAAACAGCGAGGGAGGCATGTTGTTTGGGGCTATCAAATCTTCAAAAAGCAGGCATTAACAAGCACAGATTTTCCGTATCCCAAGCCCGGAAAAAAATGTAAGACAATCATAACCTTCCTCCTGCATTTCATCGAAGACATACCCAGCCCGTCGAAAATCGTCGGCTGCCCGAAGATTTTTTTCCCTGCACAGCCACGGATATCTCGATGCCAAGCCGGAATTAGCATGGAGCTAAACTGTCTTGGGCCCAAGGTACCAAACTTAATTGCGGTGACGTCTGCAGCGCACAGACCAGGTGGTGGCTTACGCCCGCCCTATTGACGACATCGAGCTCCGCTCTCCTCGCCAAAACAACCTCTCGGCAGTCACCGACGCAAATCTTGCGCCAAAGAACTAGGCGGGAAAACTTTTTTTTTCATCTGCGAAATTCAATCTATTTCCCCCCTAGAGTATCTGCGTCAATTCTTTCCCTTTTGAGTCTTTTGTGGCAAAGGGCGTCACACTCACGGACCCGTACAGGTTTGATGGCAGCTGCATCTCCTCCCACGCTTGGCGTGCATCGAATTCCCAGCAGAGAGGTAAAACAAAGGGAACCCCCGGGCGCTAAGTAAGGTTTCGTCCCTTTCTCGATTCCCGAACCAATGGGATCGAGATGCAAAAAGACCCAGAAACTTGGCGCGGCCTGTCCTTTGATCTACAGACGAACTATTGAGGGGGGCGAAAAACTTGGATCGTTAATTTCTAAGCGCCAATTCAGCATGTGTATCCCATTGATCAGCAGCCGCGGTAATGTGAAATCGTTCGGGCATGCCGGATCTTCGCAATTCTGCTGGGTAGAAACGTGGTTGATCGGTTCCAAACCTGGTACGGGTCCGAAACCTTGCTCTGTCTCCCAGCCACCTGCTCTAGTTACTGTGCCACGGTGGCGACTGTTTACTTCTTTTCTTGTTTCTTCATCCAAATAAGTCCAAGATATGGTGTCCTTCCCGCCGAAGCCACGATAAATATGTCATCAAAAATACGGTGTAGATATTGACGCGGATCATTCAAGCTTGATCTACTATATCGTACATGAACTGCCCTGCAGTGATCAAAAACCCAAAAACAAGATTTTACAACGTCCATAGATAGCAAAAAACCCATACCAATCAAGGGTAATATCCAAAAAATCCATCGAATGAGAGGGAGAAAAAACCAGAAAGCCAACAAGGGTAAAAGTATGTTTGCACAAGTCGCAAAGCCTCTAAGATCAACTCAACATTCTATGCCAAGGAGAACGATCAACGCTCCTGTAGGGAAATCGGCTTTTTTGCTTTCCAGTTGCCAGCCTAGAACAGTCATGGACATATGTGAAATGAATTAGGCGCTATCGTTGAGTATAAGCGTCGATAAGAGGATTTTAGTTCGTCTATTCGTCGCGGGAGTGAAGAAGAATTAATCTGTCGTCTTTATCCGTACTTCGGTTGCGCCAGCAGCCTATACCGGTGCAACTAGGAATGACTTCGAAACCATTGCAGTATAGTACTGAGTTCAGGGTCTTCGGCGAGCCAATGGCCAGCACGGGCATCAGCGGACCGCAGATCGTTCCGGATATAAGAATCTGTAAAGGATGAGAGTTCCTGCCGCAGTAATGTTAGCTAGGAGCCCAGTAACAGCGAAAAAACCCTTCTTACGTTGCGCAATGTTTCATCAATCGTCCTGAGAGCGGCCCGATGTAATTGGCTTGGTTTCTGGCCATGAAGGACCTGCATTCGGCTTGTAGCCCATCTCTTAGCAGCTGCCATTCGCAGGTAAAGCTTGTGCGCTTGGAAGCGCCGTGCTGAGGCATCGAGGATTATCCTGTGCAGCATAGTCAGTACATCCGCAACATGTGACAGCACGTCGATCATGAAACATGCGGGTATATACCTTTGCAGTTGTACCTTTTGCCACTCCCCATCACCGTTTCCGTTTTGTATAGACTCAACATTGAATTGGGCGGAGATCAACGATTGGGCTTCATGGAAACATCGTCTCATCAGGGCATAACCCTCCTCATGCTCTTCGCCCAATGGAGAATCGGTCTTCAGCTGTGATATATGGAGTAACAGTGTCCTGAAATCATTCATCAACTCCGTAACCCTAAGAGCTCTTGCTTCATTCACTTTGGGAACAGAGTTAATCAGCCACATCTAAACCCGAAGATGGAAACTGAAGGACAAAATAACTCACATCCGTCGGCCATTGCGGTGAAGATATCACCACAAGTTGTAGCATAAGACAGCATAAGATTGAGTATAACAGATGAGGAGCTTTATGGTAGTTCTCAATGCACTTTGTTCTCAATGGTATCTGATGGGTATAGAAACTGAAAAAAGAACTCAATTCAACAGCAAGGAGCTCTCGCCTTTAAATATGGGAATCGAGCATGGAGATATGGAAATAGCTCCATACATCGCAGCAATCCCAGCGGAAACGCAACGCAGCCATCAGAGGGAGCCAATGGGGCCTCTCTCCAGGGAACTATGAAAATCTAGCGATGCATTGTGGGTGGTCATGCATGTCTACGGCAAGCTCGTAGTAGCAAGCCATCACGGTAGATCTGGGTTTCGACTAGGAGACCCAACTGTGGGGATCGTGAGTACGAACAGACATCGTCAACCAGGTGGACGGAGAGGTGAATATGTTTATCAGCATCAGCCACATCGGCGTCCGCCACTCACCAGCTATTAAGGCTGGTGGACGGACTAGTCGAAATCGGGTTAGACGGGGCTTGATGAGCTGATGCACTTGCCTCGTGTGGCTAAAACGAGATGCCGTCCAATCCTGGTGCAGCTTGGCTGAAAACAACGCATCATTTTGTGGGTGTTCATGATGCAAGGGACAGCGCAAAACACGTCCAAAATGCAGACGGCTCATTGACATAGCTGAAAGCGCCATTGAACCCCTTCAATGGCTTTGGGAGTATCATATTGCCTCCAATGTCGCATAACAAGCTCCCTGCTGGGCCTCGGAGGAATATTTAAACCCGTGTAGTGCAAGTTGCGATTAAAATAGAATATCATACGAAGCTCTGCCTCTCTCATCAGTCTGTCAAGTCATTGGATGTGATCGTCAGAAAGAACCTGCAAGATCCGGATTTAAGTAAGTTATCTACTAACACGGGCAGTCAATGGGACCTGAAACAAATCTCCAAGAAATCCGTGACGCCGGAACTTCGCATTGATTGGAAATAGAAAAAGTGGCTTGCAACATGGATATGCGACAAGATTTCCGGGGGGAAAGTTCCTCCGTTGCCTTCATAGAGAGTTGTATTATTTACCCGAGCCGTTATATGGCTCCTAGGGTCTTGAGCTGAAGCCGAGATCAATCCTTCTCGCTGATTGCCTGTAACCTCTCGTCGATCTCGTCCTCAGTCAAGGTCCGGAACTCGGTTTGGGTTCCTTCTTTGCCGTCGGCACGCGGGCCTCCTACAATCCCGATTTCAATTTCACCTTTCTTGAAGTCAACGCTGAGGACAGTGCTGAGCGTCGTTATGGCCAGCTCCACAACATCCTCCCATGTTCCATCTGCATATTCCTTGTTCTTCAATTTCTTCTCCAAGTGGTTAAGGATCTCCTGTTGCTTTGGCCCGGATGCAGTCGCACGGTAGCCGACGTAGTATCCAGCAGGGTCGCATTTGTACAGTTGAGGCCCAAACTCCGAATC